AACAGAGAGCTCCACGCGGGGGCAGAGAGCGAGTGAGACCGCGTGTGCATGGAGCGCAGCCCGGCAGGCAGAGTTAATTAAGTGCAAAAGGCAGGTGCTCCCAGGGTGTGAGTAGAAAGAGGTACGTGTGAGCCAGAGGGAAAAAAGAGCTGGTGTGCAGGCCTGGGGAGGGATTGGCATTTAAGCCCTACGGCCTGAATTTCAGAGGAAATGAAGAAGAGGACATTCTGGATAAAGGAGCAGTTTGAGTAAAGGCACAGAGGAATAAAACTCATGGAGAGGTTTGGAAACGAGGGAGAGAAGTCCGGGCACATGGGAGACAGGGGATGAGGGCAGGAGGTCAGAGTGCAGTGAGTGTTACCGGCTTGGATTTTATTCTGGAGACAATGGGATGCTATTTAAGTTTTGTGTGTTTGCTTTGCTTTGTTTTTTGGCGGGGGCGGCGGGGGAGGAGGCAATGACATCATTGACCTGCACTGAAGAAATCGGTCCTGGTGACAGTGTGCGACATGTACAGGAGGAGCCGAAGGCAGGACCATAGGCCAGTTCAGAGTCTGCTACCAATCAGTCATGCTTTTGGAATATCAAGTGTACAGACAGTCCAGGCAAGAGAGAATCTGAAACAGGGCGGGAGAGAAATGTGCAACGAGAGGGTGGGCAGGGCGAAGGAACGCCTGTGAAGATTTCTTCAGAGACGTCAATTGGAAGAAGACCAAGGAGGCATGGTGGACATCGAGGGAGGCTCCGTGCTTCCCATCACACACAAGCCCATCTGACCTCCCACCCACCCAGAACAGACATCGAAAGTGCCGCTGGAGGATGACGATAGGTTTAAAGGTGCCTTGCCCGAAGTTCACACAGGCACTCACATTTAAACTGGGTCTTTGAAACTCATGCGTTTCCATTAGACCGCATTTCAAAAAGACGGATGGTGCCGGTGCTGTGATGAAGCCGGCAGGAGGACGTCTGCTATAACTCTATTCGATTTTGTAATTAAGTCACTGAGCCTCTGAGAGAACCACTCAGGAGGGATGCAGTTGCTGTACATTAAAGAGTCAGTAGTAAATGAACAAATGGAGGCCGCACAATTACACGGCTCTTTCCAGAAATCAGGCAGTAAAAGGAAAGAGAGACATTTATTTTCTCTCAAACAGCATTTTAAACTCTGTTCTAGGACCTGGAGTTGGGATGTGAAAAGTTGGGTGTGTGTGTGTGTGTCTGTGTGTCTGTTGTGTGTGTGTGTGTGTGTGTGTGTCTTTTATTGTTGGTAGATGTATGTTTCAAAGGAACAAAATGTACCCGTGTGATTATGACAGTTAAAATGAGATTCTGCCTGTATCTGCTAAGAAAATTGAAGCGTGGCAGCACCTGGTAATCTAGCAAATCAATCAAAAATATTGAATAAGCCCAAACCCTACACACACCAGAATACTGGGCACTGTAAAGGGTTTTTGAAAGTTTCGGTAAGGCTGTTCATTTATTTCACAAAATAACTCTCCAGTGCCCGTCAAAGGTGACCGTGGCCTCAGTTGCTTCAAATCTGGGGGAGGGAGAAGCAGGAAGCCAGCGCGAGAACTGCACTTGGGTAAGAAAGTCCACTCCCGTGGGAGCCACAGCAGGTGCAGGTGCGCCCAGAGGACTTCGCAGAGGAGGCAGCTCCGAGCAGATGAGCAGTGTCCCAGGGAGAGCTCCGGGGCTCGTGTCCTTGCCGAGGGACCTCGCGTGCAAGTGGTACATTGTAATTAGCTGGTTTGTCATAGTCGGAAAGGAGCAGAGGAGGAC